CTGGGAAGCCAGGGACCATGACACAGTCTCAGGATGAAGAATGGGAGCAGACCGGAAACATCCGTTCTCCCAATCTGATCTGTGATCACTGAAGCATTCATGCTTCAGTTGTCAGCAGCCAATTAAAGTGCCAAGTATACAGACAATCAAGCGCATTCCTGTGCTTGATGATCTGTATTAGAGAGCACTGACCCCTGATGTCTCCATAAAGAGAACCTGTCACCTCCAAATTCTGTCATAGGTGCTTTTTAGCTATGTCATGTCAAAAGTTAAGTGAGAAAGAAAAAAAAAAAAAAAGTAAAAAATAAATTAAATTAAAACCAACCTTGCCGCCCCGCCATCTGATTTTAATGAACACATGCATGTAAGGTATATGTAACTGGGAGAGACTTCTAACATAAAAAACAAACAGTGTGATATGCCGTGATTGGAACATCAGCACCGTGCGTTGCAGTGCAGCGGCTGCTGTGAATGCAGCCTAAGTGGCAGACCACGGTACAGACTTGAACCAAGTGAACTCATAGTAATGAACGAATAAAAAAACAACAACTGCTGGACTCTTATTTGGCACCGTTATGTACTCCATGATGTACTTGGAGGAGGTGGGAAGCTGTGTGAGAAGTCAAGCAGGTAACAAGACAACACCTTGGGGGTTTTGTGCTTGCCCTAATGTGCAAGTTTTCAAAGTACACTTGCACATCAGGGCGCACTTACCTTAAAAGTATTCCCTTCTCCAGCGTTGCCGAATCGATACTTGGTCCTCAGCGCCATCTCCCGCTGCTGACACTTCCAGGTTCTCAGAAGTTCTCTTCGGCCATAGGGTGGCCACTGATCATGCAACTCCTGTGCATGCACACAAGAGTTACCTCCTACATCTTAGAGATGTCATGACTGACTGTGTACCTCACAGTGCATGCCGCTGGTGGAAGAAAGGAAGAATTTCTTGGGCAGAGGAGACTTCGTATGTCTCTACTGCAAAAATTTCTACCTTCCAGCGATCTTTTTTTTTTCTAACTTTCCTTCAGCTTTAAATATAAATCCGTAAGATATCCACCACAATAATGATAATTTAAGATTACATATACAGATTGCTGCTATAACATAAATCATATCTGCTGCTCTTTAAAGCATACACCAAAGCAGTAGTCACACACAGCCCTACATCTGCAAGCAATTTAACACACGGCTTCACTTCTAATAGTTTTACAGAGTTTCACTTACAAGTGTCGAAGAGCTGGTAAGAAATTCTGTGGTAGGTTCAGTGATTCAATGACTTCCATTGCTGTGAGATCAGACCGTGGGTCAGATAAACTATTGAATATGAATGCACCAAATAATACTTCAAGTTGAAGGGTTTGAACAGCAAGATGTGACTAGCATGGCAAGTGTTTAAAAATTCCAAGTGTGCCAAGAGGATGATGACGCAAGACAGTCAAGATCATGGTTTCTGCACCTAATTACCTATATGTACTGCAACATAATAGTTTGTTAATTGCAATGCGCCACAATCAGATGTGCAATGCAACAATTCCCATCCCTCAACCTCAGAGCCATATGGTTGACTTCTGTTCCCACATGAAATAACAAAACTATGACCCCTGAATACTCTCAAAAAGGTACCAATGAAGATTCTTTAGGTAGTATTCATTCACCACACCTCAATAACCATGAGAGTTATTGAGAGTGTGGGAATTCCACAGATTGGTATAGGCCAGTGGAACTAAAGAGTATCTATTGCCTAAAGAATTGCAGACATTCACACAGATGAAATATCTGCTTTCTGATGCATCTTCCAGTGTCCAAAATGAAGGAAACCTGTCCTTGTGGTCAATGTAATCTTAGCTTTGCTGACAAGGAACAAACATGTAGCCAGTGACGTGCTGACTAACCTTATATGTACACATTTGTTCTAGGTCAGTACCTCACCAAACATGAAGAAAAGATGAGCAGGATGGGCCTAGAGCATGGACCTTTCAAAACAAGCCAGCACCATTATTTATTTACCAATAGGTTACTTTAAATGTTACAAATGAATAAAATTAACTATATGGATACAGTCTTCTGTGTAGTGTCCAAAGAGGCATAGAGCATTGTACTGTAGTGTAGTCTAACTCAATGCAGCCTCTGGATCCCAGTACTGTTCAGATTAAAGTAAGTACTTTTTGTTCTGAAAAACGTAATTGTCGCAAGACACAAAACTGAGGCTTAACCCCTTCGTGACGGGAGACGTACACTGTACGTCCAGCCACAAAGGGACCAAATGACTCGTCACGTACACTGTACGTGACGAGTTATTTGCTGCACTAGAAGGCTGCTAACCGCTGAGAATCAGCGGTTACCTTTCAGTAATAGATGTCTAACTATCTAGAGATCCATTACTGAAAGGGTTAACCTTTTTCAGACACCCGATACCTTAATATCGGGTGTCTGAGAGTCACAGCAAAGCAGAGACACATGTCGGCTTTTGCTGGCATTCTGACAGCTCGTATAGATCGAGAGATATCTCTCTCAAGCTATACTGGCTTTTTTTTTTTTTTATCTTTTGACTTTCAAGAATAGATACAAAATGTTATGTATTAGACACATAATGTATCTATTCTTGAAAGTAGAATGTTTAAGTTTTCTGAAACATTCACTGACAGCTGAATCCTGAACTGCTGCAGGATCAGTGTCACTAACTTATCGGCTGTTCTGAAGTTTGAAGCAGCCTGATAATAAAAAAATAAATAAAAAAATGTATTAATTTATCAAGCAGTAATAGTGAGATTAATTCACAATGACTGCCTGATATAATTAAATAAATAAAATTTGTCAGTATAAAAAAAGGGAAAAGTGTAAATAAATTAAAAAAAATAGTGAAAAGTGTAAAAAAATTAAAAATAAGGGACAAATAAATGAATGTATGTATTGCATTTTTTTTAGCTGTGCTGGTTTTGTTAAAAAAAAATACTACAAATCAAAACTGGGAAAAAAAGTTTTTTTTTACGTTTTTTCCTCTTTTTTTAATTTGTATTTGTGCTAAGTGAGGCGTTAGACACACATATGTGATATAAATATATAGCCCTATCTGTCCTCTAAAAAACAATATATAATATGTGTGGGTGCACTTTGTAAGAAAGTATATTACTGACGTGGAAGAATCACACAGCAAAAATGTCAAAAGTGTGTCAGTCATTTACGAACAGAAACCAAAAACAAGCTCAGTCATGAAGGGGTTTAAATACCAAAGTTGGTACCCCATGGTGCCTGCATCTGCTTTTTTTGATATGTTAGAGTACCTCTAAACCCAAGGAAAATATACCAAATACTGTAGAGAAGTATATATATATTTTATATTTTACCTTTGCCAAGGATTCATGCTAAAGTGGATCTTAAAAATCCAAAAATGACATTGGGTTCCCCTGCCCCTCATGCTTCTACTATCTCTAAACACGAACAAGGGTGCCCATTTACTTGTGATCTGAAATGGTCTCCCTCCTGATAGGATATAGCTGAGGGACTAGAATATTAGAAGTCAGCCAGCCAGTGAATGTTCAACCACTCACAGGTCCGGTCCCTGGACCGTGGCATGAGGGAGGAAGCAGTGGGAAAAATCAGTGCCTTCTGGACCTGGAGGGAGACCACTATGGGGAAATCATGGGCCTGCTGGACTTGGAAGAGAGCACTATGGAGATATCATTGACATGTTGGCCCTGGAAGAAACTACTCTGGGGATATCATGTGCCTGTTGGACTTTGGAGACGCTACCCTGTGGAAATCATTGGCCTGTTGAACTTGGACAAGACCACTCTAGGGATATTATGGGCCTGTTGGCCTTTAATAAAAACACTCTGGGGAAATCATTGGCCTGTTGGACCTGGAGGAGACCACCCTGGGGAAATCCGCATCAGCGGTTGTTCCTTGTATAGATGTGGAATAACGTTTGAATTTCTTGGGAAGGTCATTGTTTGCTGGTTGTACAGATTGAATTGAGCCCTTCACTCCAGAAGAGAGTTATCCGTGCACCGAATGTGGATTACAAGGACGCGTGATATGGGGGAGCTGTGTGCTTTGTGTTTCTGGGGGAAATCATAAGCCTGTTGGACCTGAATGAGATCATGCACCTGTTGGACTTGGAAGAGACAACTCTGGGGATATCATGGGTATTGTGGGCCTGGAAGAGGTCACTATGGGAATATCATTGCCCTGATGGACACGGGAAAAAACTCTACTCTGTTGGACCTAGATGAGCCCAGGGGCAAGAGGACCAACGTTCAGCTTCTTTGCTTAAAATGAGCTTATTCTGTATAAGTATGATAGGACCAAATTTAACATTGCACACAACCAAAACTGCAGAATGAAAGACTAAACGTTCATATATTACAAAATGCAAAGTGATTTGAGAAGTGAAAGCTAAAACATAAATTGATAAAATCACAAGACCTTCTTTTCTGTCTCATGGGAGTTGGTCTAAAGACATTGGGGGGAATTTACAAAAAATGGAGCAGACAAAATCTGGAGCAGCTGTGCATGGCAACCAATCAGCTTCTCTTTCATTTTTAAAAAATCTTAACTGAACAAACTGAAGAGAGAAGCTGATTGCTTGCCATGGGCAACTGCTCTAGATTTTGCCTGCTCCAGTTTTGATAAATACCCCTCAATGTATATGAAGTTGTGAATCAGCAGATACCTACAGACAAATCAGAACTCTCCAGCTATTCTGAACACAGTTAATGAAAACCAATATTTTGGATTCACGGATTCTACAACTCTTCACAGGTTAGTCAACCTAATGCAAACAGATCAAGAACCAGAGAATAACCAAACACATGAAAGTACCCATGTTATTCAATCTCCTCATTCACAGATCCTTTATTTTATCTCTAAGCATCATTCTAGATTCTGTGTCCTCTTGCAGTCATATACCTTTAGAAGATTACAGACCTTTGACATTTCTTTTTGAGTAAAAGAGGAATAAAAAAAAGTTTACTTACTACTAATGTCCAAGGCACCTTGGAAATTCTGGTAAATGCTCTGGTGATGTATATAATTAAAAGAACAACAGTAAGGACCCAATAAAACACTGCTACAAACATCACCCAGCCAAAGGCAGGAAAGAGGAAGTACTCGGAGCCAGCGATCAGTGCCCAGACTGGCAAACCAAACACCTGAGAACCAAAGAAAGAGATAGCATTTCAGAACAAAAAAGGCTTTTGGAAAGTACTAATTAGAGGGGAATATGGCAGAATATTAGTACAGATAAGTCAAGTACACAACTTCATTGTGACAGGCCTAATGGACTATAGCAATGTGAAACCGGAGGAGTTGTTTTGTTGAAAAAAAAAAAAAAAAATCACCAATAAATGATAGTCTTGGTAGTATTCAATGTACTTCGTGAAATTAAAGTTAAAATGCTTTTAGGCTATTTCAAATGAATTTACAATGCATTCTGCATTTTCTGCTGAATCAGCTTGTCACCTGAGCACTGGTCCAGATACCATGCTTTAGGTTGGCTCATTTCCCTTGTGGGGTCCTATGGAGCCACCTTTGTGTGTGCGTGCTAGTAATCTTTGTATGTCTCCACACACACACACACACACACACACACACACAGCAAGGCAATCTACTCCCCTGATCTCTGCTGCCCTCTCCTTCAAGCTAGTAGAACAGTTGCTGGAGTATGCTCTGTCCCTTCTGATCTTGTACTGGACAGGAATTTCAGGGAAGTTGAGCTGAGAGACTTGGAGCCAGCTGAGTGGACACATGATGACTAAGTGCTTGGACAAGAATGTAAAGAAATGCTTTGCTGGGCAATCTACAGGTGAAACTCGAATAATTAGAATATCGTGCAAAGTTCATTTATTTCACTAATGCAACTTAAAGGTGAAACTAATATACGAGATAGACTCATTACATGCAAAGCAAGATAATTCAAGCCGTGATTTGTCATAATTGTGATGATTATGGCTTACAGCTCATGAAAACCCCAAGAACCCCTAATCCACAACCTCAAAAAAGTAGATTATTACATGCAATCAATAAAACAAGGATTGTACATAGAACAATATCGGACCTCTGAAAAGTACAAGCATGCATATGTACTCAGTACTTGGTTTGGGCCCCTTTTGCAGCACTTACTGCAATTACTTTTGCACGATATTCTAATTATTCGAGTTTCACATGTATATTCATTGGCTCTGCATTCATTTTAGAACAATAGTTTAAGAGTTTAATACTACTTTATAGTGTATGCAAATGGAAAAAAACATTTCTTTTGTTTTACATTTTTCGATAGAGTGGGGGAAAGGTTAGATCCTCTGCCTTATTTTTTTGCAGTCTTTGTACTAAAGGGGGGGATTCACTCCAATAAACTGTCCTTGTGACCATTATCACCAGAAAAAAAAGACAGCAAAAAACAACCTGATAGGGGGTATAGCCCTTCCCATTTCGATCCCAAAAACTCATAATATAGTCCCCGCCTGATGATCGTCCAGCTGCAGGCTGGCTGATGGATTTTAATAAAACTAAATGTATGGTGAAAATTAGGGATGCACCGATATTTTTTTTTCCCCGGTATACCGAATAACGAGTACTGGAAGTCCAATTCAGGAAGCCAGGCAGCGTGTAATGACTCGCCACCCAGCCTCCTGATTAGCAGGGAAGCCATCCCCACGCTTCTCGTCACTAGGCGATGAGAAAGCATGGAGCCGGCTTTCTGGCGAATCAGGAATCCAGGCACTGTGAAATGACGTGGCGCCCGGCCAGGAAGCCGGCTCCATGCTCCCTCGTCATGAGGTAACTAGGGAGCATGAAGCCGGCTTCCCGACCAATCAGGAAGCCAGGCAGTCACAAGTGACGAGAGCATGGAGTCGGCTTCCGGCCAATCAGGAAGCCGGGCAGCATGTAATGACACGCTGCCCAGCTTCCTGATACCGGAAGTATCGGGCTAGGCATCGGAGCATTTGTGCGAGTGGACTACTCGTCCAAATACTTGGCATCGGCACCGATACTAGTATTGGTGCATCCCTAGTGAAAATAGTGGTGTGCGGCTATTTCTAGACATTAGGATTGTGGAGGGTGGATGGCTCCTGGCCAGCAACTGATGAAGCGGTGAAAGTCTCTTTATATGTCTGCAAACTTTTTACATGGTGTTGTTGCCTATACAGTATGACAAGATGGATTTAGAATTTGATTAGTTCCACATACATTTTCAAATATGAACCAAAGGCATCTATACGTTAAAGTAGCATTTCTCAACATGTTTTCAGTAATGGAACCCGATGCAAAATCTCAAGGCACTGCAGTCTAAAAGATCATAGATTTTAAAGGGGACCCAAAGCAGAAAACATCCAAAAAAGTGGGTTTATCCCCTTCACATCGAAGTGACCCCACACAACCCGGGTCAGACCGTGCACACAACCCAGGTCACAACGTGCACAGTCTCCTGAGATGCCACACAGCCCTGGTGAGCAACATGGAGTATGTAGCTTCATATTGCTCTGCATTGCTGTATAATGTAAAAAGTGGCGTAACAATCGCCATACCGACCCAGGCGGCCGCTATAGGGCCCGGGGCATAGGGGGGCCTAGCCAGATGCCGTGCGGGCCGCCTGGGTCGCTATGGCATCTTATGCTGGTGTCTTTCACTGGCGGCTGTGAGAAGAATGAGCTGCTGTTTAGATCACCGACAGTGATCTGTGCAGCAGCGCGTTCTTTTCACAGCCGCTGCGGAGTTAATGAGAGCCAGCAGCAGCGGTGGAGCAGGCTAGACCCGGCAGTGGAGGGGGAGGCAGGGCCCGGTGATGGTGGAGGAGGTGGGGCCCATCAGCGATCGTGCAGGTAAGGAGTGTGACCAGCCCACCTGAGGGTGACCATGCAGAGTCCACCATAGAGAGTCTATGGTGGGCTCTGCATGGTCACCCTCAGGTGGGATCTCAACTGGGCTCTGCAAGGGGCATAACTAGAAGTCACAGGGCCCCATACAAAATTTTGCTATGGGGCCCTGTGATTTCTAGTTACGCCCCTGAATGTAAAGTATAATACTTTGCAGTGAAAAAAGTAGTGCATGCACTGAGGCCACCAGGAGGTGCGTCTAGCGCACAGTCCCACACATTAAGTGCTCTGTGTGATAGCATGTGGTAAACGCACGGTACCACATTTGTACAAGTTCCCTTTGATTGTACTAATTTTTTTCATATAGATTTGCTTTCTGAATTTGGTACTCTGGAATAGTGAAGGTCATAGTCTGTACTCTGCTCTCAGTGAATTAGATGTAAAGAAACAATTTTTTATATCACCAGAAATTATCAAATAATTCTTATTTTCATACAGTTTTTATTGAAATGGATGCCAAGACTCTGGAATGACATACATTTGCCCCTGGAAAGCCAGAAATCTTCAACTGAAATTAGATTGCAAGCTCTTCTCATTTCATGTATTTGTGTATGCTTTTGCAGATCAGTACAGCACTGCAGGAGACACTGAACCATATTTTTTTTTTATTAGAAACCATTATAATATTTTTAAATCAGTGTACAACATATCAAATTCAGCTATTCTAGATATTTTTATTTTTAACACTAGGGGGTGCACCGAGATCATTTTAGTAACAAAAATGAAAAAAACAAATATCTGCAGCTATGATATCATTCCTGGCTAAATTGAAATGCAAATTTGCAGAGCCACTCTTCTTCTGTGGGAATGTGTTCAAAGAAAGCCACATTTCTGCCCAGGCATCAAAATGCCAGAACTACGTCAGCTATAGTTAACGTTTCTTCTCAATGGCACAGATAAAAAGGCACTTACACAATCACTTCCAGAGGTCTCTCACCTAAACCAAGGCTGCCGGCTTCATCGGTAATCAGAAGGGAAACCACCAGCTCATTCTTCATCAATGATAACTTTTTGAGTTCTGGTTCAGTTATCACAGTCCTGTTTCTTGTATAAGGATTGCCTATACACATTTAAAGTGTAATTCTACCTTTGCAATCAAATTTGACCCCCCACTGTATGTTTTGTTATTTGTTCCCATTCACACAGCATACCTAAAAATAATTATAAAATATGTCTTATCTTTATATTTGTTTCTTTAGAGCAGGATTATACACATGACTCTACAAGCAGCTTCTATTGTTCAGAATATTGCTGAACAAAACATTACAGGGACATTTTGGAACTTAGAAGAGAAAGCAAAGTAGTTTTTTTTTTTTTAAAAGAACAACTCTGGGCAGAATAAAAATTAGGGTAGACCCACTGCACAGGTTGTGTTCCCCCTCTTCTTCCCCTGGGCTCCAGTTGTCGAATGACCTGTGAAGTCATGGCGTCGAATAGAGTCCTCTAGAAAAAAAAAATTAGCAGTTTACCTGTGTAGCGCACTGGTAGTCGCACTGCAAGGGTCTAATACAGTGTATCAGACATGAGGATGCTTCTATCTGGAGTTCTTCAAGTTCTCCTATGTGAATGGGAACAAGTAACAAATGTAAAAGTAGGAGTTATGCCAATTTGACTGCAAAAGCTAAGCTACTCTCCGTGCTGCCAATTGGCTGTCCAGTGGCGGGGCTACCTCATGATCCAGAAGAGAGAGTACAGTAATATCAAGAGGACTGGCTGGCATGGACACATTTGCGGCGCAGGATTTACAGTCACCCACACCTGCTAACAGTGCTGGGGAGGAACATGAACAACAGATTTAGGTGATAAAGCAGTAAGACTAGGTACAAAGGTGACAAGGGTTTACAGCAGTGGAAAGGAAGCAAAATAGTAGAGCTCCGAGAGTGGGCACAGAGGTTGCAAGGGAGCACAGAAGTGCAGACGAAGCACAACAATAGATTGGGGGGGGGATAGAGGAGGCAAGGGTTTACAGCAGCGGAAAGGGAGCATAAACAGTAGTAGGGGCAGAATGAGGAGTATTGTGGGCAGAGTGAGCACAAAGGTAACATGGCTTCCCAGCACTGCAAAAAGAAGACAACAGTAGAGGAGCAACATAGGTGGCAAGGTTTCACTGCAGTGGAGAGGGAGCACAACTGTAGAAGGGGCAGAGGGCATAGTAGTAAGATGAATGCAAAGCTGTCAAAACAACAAGTGAACATACTTTACATATCATGGCAAATCTTTATGAATGCCTTTAAACCAGCCACTCACTCTTGTGATAATCCCTGCACCTGAAAGAC